AACTCCCTAGGGTGCGACACTGCTCAGCTACTAACATCTCGGGCTACTGATGAACCACAACTCGGGCCTGACAACTGCAGCGATGTTGCTCCAAATAACTCATTAGGCACGAAGGGGCACTGGAGTTCCATTTAAAAGCAATTTTTCCCATGGAAAGAATTTTCTTTTAAATAACTGGAGTAGAATTTACAGGCTGGTTAGAGTGACTCCATTAGAACAAGTACCTGTCATCTAGATTCAGTTGCCTAAAAAAAAAAAAAAAAAAAAAAAAATACAATCTTCCAATTCTTTATTTTGAAATAACAAGAAAAGCAGAAATAAAACAAGAAAAAGGAAACTGACAAAAATGCAAGACTAAATGATCTTTTAAATAAAACGAAAATAGGAATAGAAAAGTCTGTAGGGAACAAAACCTATTTACAGCAACACAATTATTTTCCTAATCTTACATCTGATCTCTAGGTAGGAATCCAACAAAAGTGAATGGATTTTATAATGAATTTTGGAGCTCAGAACAAGAATAACTGACTTTCACATCGTGGCTTATAGACTCTCCTAAGGAAAGCTAAAAGACTTTTGGCTTTTGTAAGTGATTTAAGGGAAATAGAAGGAGAAATGTATTAGAAACCCAAACACGGCATTTAGAATAAAACTGTTACATGAAGTTCTCTGACAAGAAACTAACCATTTAAACTAGTAAACTCACATTCAAGTAAGCCATAATAGCCTGATACAAAATAATGATGCCCACTTTCATCCTATTAAGCTTTTCAGTCACCTCCCTGCCAACTAGATTCGTACAATCCCTTCATGATCCTTTCTTCCCTTTAGCTTGCCTTCTGCTTTATGTTCTTACCTACTAGATTTGTTCTTTGTATCTGAAAGTTTTGGAAGGTGGCAGTATGTTTTAGTGGGAAGGAGGTTTCACCACCCAGCACCATAGGCAGGGAAGCTTGGGAGTCCGTTAGAGTTAATTACCATGACCAAGTATTCATAATTGCCCATTCCCTACCCTATTCATTGTCTTGACCACACTTTCGTCAGGCCTCTCTCCTCCCACAGGTTCCTGAACTCTGGCTTGTCCCCAGTCCCGAGCAAGCCCTAAAATGCAGAACATGCCTCTGTTGCAGCTTATCTTGAGAGTCTAGCTGTCCACTGCCAGACGTGTTTCCTGTCAATCCCCAACGATCACACCCTCGTGCTTGCCCAACATTAAAAGTTGCTGCTAAGACTTTTCTGTTGGATTTGGAAACTTTTGCACATTTTTTCCCCCTGTCTTTTAGAGACACCCAGCCGAGTCTTGCATGTTTCTGAAATCAACATGTTCTCTCTATTGAAATAGTTTTTCTGAATAAAGCCTCTCCTTACTTAAGGCTGGATTTGTTTTTATTTGGCAGCTAGTATGCTCCTATTACACGATTCTAAGATGACACAGCTCAGATGGTTTTTCATGTCAAAAACTATGTGTTGACCATTGTATTGGATTCCTTGTGTATGAAATATGCAGAGTAGGCAAATCTACAGAGACAGAAAGTAGATTAATGATTACAGGAGCCAGGGGGTGGGGAGGATTGGAGAGTGACTGTCAATAGTTACAGGGTTTCTTATGGGGCTGATTAAAATGTCCTAAACTTAGATTGTGCTGATGGTTGCAAAACCTTGTGACTATATTAAAAAGCATTGAATTGCACACTTTGAATGGATGAATTTTATGGTATGTAAGTTATATCTCAATTAAAAATTTTAAAGACTGGTTTATTCCAATGGTAGGCTGAACCAGAAAATGAAAGTGTGACATATTTTGAACTTCAGTTGAATTATAAGGTCTTTTTTAACATGATAAAATAATGTGTATTATAGCCCAAATGTAATACATAATTCAATGATATATTTCCAACAATGCTCTTTGGCTCAATGAATGAGAGTTTGTACATCTCAATAAAGTTTTTCAAACATTACGGCTTAGCAAGAACACCAAATGAAAAACAGCAGGCAGAATTAATATAAAGATTAACAATATAGGCCAGGGGTGGTGACTCAAGCCTGTAATCCCAGCACTTTGGGAGGCTGAGGTGGGTGGATCACTTGAGATCAGGAGTTTGAGACCAGCCTGGTCAACAAGGTGAAACCCTGTCTCTACTAAATATACAAACATCAGCCAGGTGTGGTGGCATGTGCCTGTAATCTCAGCTACTTGGGAGGCTAGAGGCACAAGAACCACTTGAACCCAGAAGGTGGAGATTGCAGTGACCTGAGATTGCGCCACGGCACTCCAGCTTGGGCGACAGAGCGAGACTTCGTCACACACCAAAAAAGAAAGAAAGATTAACAATATAAAATGGAAAAAAAAA